GCAGAGTGATTCTATCATTTGTGCTACTTTGCTGGTGGCAACGAAAGTGGATTTTATGCTATTAAACGATTATAAGGCACATTCCACTGATCAGGAGACATTAGCATGGTTTAAGTTATGCAGCTCATTTTGGTGTCATTCTGCCTCATGGACTTGAGCGTCAGCCTGGCTCAACTGACGACACTCTCACCTCTGAGGCAGAAAGTTGTGGGTCCGAGCCCCACAGTGGGACAATTTGCTGCATTGCTGGAGGTGCTGCCCTTCAGATGAGCCATTAGAACCGTTTGCCTGTTCCGGTGGGCATTAAAGAGTCCATCACATTTTCCCATAAGAGGAGAGAATTTCTCCCGGTGTCCAGGCTAACAATCCCCAAATAAATTTACGTTGGGCTATGTAGTGTGCAACTTGGCTGCTGTGTTTGCCTACAAAAATGCACAGTCACAACACTTCATAGTAAATCATAGAAAGCGCTTTGAAATATCCTACTGACGCGAAAGGTCAAATTATGTTTTTTGGAACAGGGAACGACGTTCCTGTTGTTACTCCTGACGCACCTAGTGTAAGCCATTCCCTTCCTGCGTGCAGTGCTTTTAACAATGTGGACATTTTATGCTGATTCCATTTAGACTATTGATGCTGCAATAATAATTCTAGTCCACGCAGCACTTGGTGGGCGCAGAGTGATTCCAAGGTGTGAAAACTGCTTCCCCATGAACACAAACCTAACCGCAAGGCTTTACTTTACAACACTGTTTTTATTCCTGTCATTAACCACTGTCATTTAAAAAATGTCTCCAAGACTTTGATAAGGCGCTATATCAAATGCAAGGATTGTTATTATTATTATTATTATTGGTTAAGGCATGGAATGCCCTGCCTGGCACTGTGGTTGAGGGAGAATCCAAGTTTTGCAAGTTTTGACGGGGGAATCAGATAAATATTTGTAAAGGCAAAATATATGAAAGAATACTGGGGAAAAAAGCAGGAGAATTGGACTGAATAGATTGACCTTTTAGAATGTCAGCACAGTTCAATGTGCTGAATGGCCTCCTTCTGTGCTGCAAATTATGGTTCTAATTTATCTCCACATGACGATAGTACATTTCAAACCCCTGTTAGTTTAATGCATTCAACATTAAAATGTTGTTCAGCCCAATTCTAACATCTATTAAGTGGGGAATAGGAATCCATGGATCCAGTCTAATTCTTTTACATTGCCAGTGTTGTATTCAGAAAAGTATGTTATAATTTCTATCAGTGGCTCTTATGTTGGGTTGGCAAAAGTTTTACAGTTATACTGATGTCTAATAATAATAATCCTTGCATTAAATATGGCAACTTATCAAGTCATTGAGACGTCTCAAAGCGCTTCACAGGATATATTACAAAGTGAATTGACTGTATTTTTTGGTGAAGGAGACAGATAGTTTGTGATAGCAAAATGTCCCATAAACAGCCAGTGGGCCCCCAGTACTGTAACAGTGTTGGTCTGAACTGTGAGTTCAAAGACTCAGTGTAGGGCTTGAACCCACAACTTTCTAATTTAGAGCGCTAACAACTGAGCCAACGTAACGTCTCCCCAGTAGCCATAAATTGCTTGCGAGTTAATACATCTCTGAGCAAAATTTGCAGGTTTAGTCTCATTGCAAACTGTCCAATTTTGTGATAAGTAAATCTCAGTGATGCATAGAGAAACATCTTGAAAAGATTGCGCTGAAATTATATGACCATAAGTCAGCAAGAAAAGGGAATATCTTGCCTTTGAAGAGGTCTCTCAATAGTGACAATTATTTCATCAGTGTGTTTCTCTTCGTTAATGAATTGAGCTTGCTTACGGAATTTCCTTTATTCTTTCCAGCTTCCATGTTGCATTCTCGGCGATCGTGTCAGCTCCGATAGTTTGTTATTGGAAAGAAATTAATAATAATGAATGAATAACAGGAATCTTTGCTTTTTGATATCGCGCTCTTCGCATCAGGCGGCATCTCAAATTGCTTCAAACGAATTTACTCTGAAGTGCAATTTGTCGACATCGCGTTTCAGAATGTGTAGAACTTGGCATTTTTTTTCTTTTAATCAATTTTTTAATTTATCTGCCAGGTTGGCTCAGTTGGTAACACTCTTGCGTCTGAACTTGGAATTATCATGTCTTGGCTGATGATCCAATGCGGCCCTGGGGTTGTGGAACATTGCTGGAGGGGCCGTCCTTCAGATGAGTTGTTAAACTGAGGTCCGATCATGACACTCTTCAAAGAGAGGAGTTTCTCCCAGTGTCCTGGCCAACCATTTAAATTGATCATTTACATCATGGCTGTTTGTGGGACATTGCTGTGCGTCAGTTGTTCTACTGAGTTCTCCCACGAAACACGCAGCCACACCAGTCTACGGATTATCCTGTGCAGGGATTTGGACGCCCTCCCCCAATGTGAAGGGCGCTCTACCAATTGTCAGGATTTTTCTAAATTTGGAGCCCGTTTTTCTCAAAATGTTCTCAAAGGAAACGTGCAGAAAAGCGCTTCTAAAATTAAAGAGCGTATTCGGGAAGTGGACAGTTCTGGATGAAATTCTCTGAAATATTACATGAATAAAGTAAATCTGGAGCCAGGTGGAATGTGACCCCGCAGAGTGCTAAAAGTCCACAATGCTTCTTGCAAGCGTGCATCATGTTGTCTTTCGATGCAGCAAACTTTTGGCTGTTTACAGATGAATTCCTAAGGATTCATTGCTTGGTTAACAGTTAGACACTAATGCAGTGGTTAATATACTCTAACCATCTGGCACACCTTATGGTAGTACGATTTGGAAAACATATAAATATTAGTTGCAAATATTTTATTCCCAGGTCTGGATTTTGCTACTGCACTTTATTATAAATTTTATGAGCACATTCGGAGGCCGGTTGTGTGCGTCTCACCTCGTTGACAAAATGCTGTAGGTCAGAAAAAACATCATGGACGACTTTCCAGTGCAGAGAAAGTTCTCATCAACATCCACTTGATTGGTGAGGGTGGTGGTGGGGGTCAGACAGAATCTCCCTTATGTTCTGAGAGCCACACAATTGATTACCGCATTTTATCCGCTCAAATATCTTGCTTTTGAAGAGGTCTCTCAAGAGTGACTATTATTTCATCAGTGTGTTTCTCTTCTTTAATGAATTGAGCTTGCTTGCGGAATTTCCTTTATTCTTTCCAGCTTCCATTCCAGACTGTTTTTAAAAGTTGTATTCGTTTTATTCATAGGACAAAATTAATAGCCTGGAGGCATGGGGGAGGACAAAAAAAGCCAGGCCAATAGGGGGACAAACTGCTGGAAGGGAGTGTGAGGCAGAGCTATTGATTTTTTTCCCTCTGGTTTGTAGAAAGGGTGAGTGCCACTCTATAAATAGGATAAGGTTTTGTGAAACACCAAGGGCGTTTTGGGGAGGACAAGTTTGCAGGGCTCTGGGGAGAGAGCGGGGGAGCGGGACTGATAAGAGGCAGCATGGACAATATGGGCCGAATGGCCTCTTTCTGTGCTATACAATTCTACGATTCTATGGATGTCGAATTTGATTCCAGTTCCAGTCTCTGCAAAAGCAAAGGATCGATTTCTGCCTATTTTTTGTCTTCCTTGATTCTTGTTTCCAATTCCTCCCCTATTCTCGGATGTGCTGTATGTTAAATGCAATGCCAAATAATCCCCTTTGATTTCTCTCGTTCCTGTTAACTGTTTTAGTGAAGCGGTTGTTTTTCTCTTTATAAGGTCGAAGAGGGGTAGAGTCTTGTCAGCTCGTTTTCTTCACTGTTACTAATCTGTCATGCACAGGGTTGCACGAACGCTTTAACACAGGACTGCTATCAGCTTAGAAACCAACAAACAAATCAGCTCCTCTCTTTTGCCTCAGGCATGGTTTAAAAAAAACATTAGACAGGAATATGAAGCCATTTCTTGACTACCACCCTTCTGGGCAGAATTCCAGGCGTATTAGCTGTTGAATTCAAACCAGCGAAGTGCTGATAAATCTTTATCAGAAATTGGGTTGGTCACCACTTGGGATACGGTGTGCATTATTTTGGTTGACGCACGATAGGAAGGAGGTTAGAGTTACAGAGAGAGTGCAGTGTAGATTCCCGAGGATGATGAAGACGTGTGATAGCTTGTGGTGAGGACTCTATAGGAGCGCACAAAGGTTCAGGTGAGACATGGTCAAAGTGCTTGAGATAATTAAAGGGTTTGAGAAGATAAATGGAGATAGTGGGTGTGAATTTAAGAGCGTGAAGGGGCAAGAAAATTCTCCAAGTGGCTTGCCCAAGTGTGGAATGAATTAATGGGGCTGGAGGGTTATTGGCGGTAGAGGTAATTGGACATTTAAAAGTTAATTAGAAAGGAAGTGCAGAGTATTAACGGGTACAGGGAAAGAACAGGGAATTGGGATTAGATAGAGGTACAAATATTGACATTAATAAGTCCAGTTGTCTCTTTGAACTGACTTCAAAAAGATCTTCTGATCCACTGACTAGAAATGTATTGTCCAATCTCCTTTCTGAAACATCAACCTCCTGTGTTGAATTGCCATTCAGTTAGTCAATATGTCTTTTTTTTTTTACCTTTACCACCCACTCGCACCTCGTAAGTTCACTGGAATTTTCTTAATCACTTATCCACTGTAGGTCTTTTTAAATCATCTCTCCCCTCTCTTCTTGTAATTTCCTGTATTTTTTTTTGTCAGCAGGACTGAGTCTCTCTGGGCGAAAGGTTGGTGAAGATAATTTATATTGGCAACTGTCTGACTTTTGCCTGACCTTTCTGCTGCTCTGCAATCAGGTTTGAGCAAACTGAGCTTGGTACTTGCTTGTCTGTTTGGAAACAACTCCACAGATTACTCGCTGGCAGTACAATATGGGGTATTCTGATAAATGATCAGAAAGTGTGACAGCCAGTGCTGTAAGGAAAGCAATTTAGAATTCTCCTAGAATTGCTTTAGCACCTGAACAAACGATTCATCACCCCCGCTGAAAGCAGGACGGTAAGGAATGAAAGTCTGACACCGTTTACTTTAAGGAATACAGTGCGGCAAAGTCTTCAGACCTAAATGGAGCGTCATTATCTGAGATGATTTTCTCCAGGTAAAGCCATAGAAACTAAACAAAGTTCTCAACATGTGTAAATGCTTCTGCAGTGGGAAGCTAAAGTTGTAGTGAATGTCGGTGGCTGTCAGGAATAAGCACCAACAGCAATAAATTACACCAGTCCATATTTTGCAGTAAAATCACCATTAATGCTCTGCTGTTATTTACCTACCAGTCCCCAGGTTATATCTGTGTTGGAGTACAGTATTTCTGATGGATTGCTTTGGCAGCTGTTTGCAGAGGTCTAACTTATTATTATTCGGTCACCAAAGGTAGATTTGAAATGTTTATGCGTCCAGAATCTTCTCCTTTTAGGGGTCTAATTTGTGGTATTTCTTAACAGGATTTATTCATAAGGAATGTAACTCGCATGAGTGGGGATTGGCCCCTTCCCCTCTGGAATTCTGTGTTGTTGTTTCAACGTGCTTCGCAGGATTTACTGTAAAGTGTAGTGACTGCATAATTCTGTAAGCGAAAGAGGCAGCAAATTTGCACACCACAAATGTCCCACAAACAGCCATGAGATGAAGTGACTAAGTTTATCTGCGGGATTGTGGGCCAAGGTACCAGAAGGAATGTCAGCCTCGACTGTAAGATCCGAGTCTTGACGTGAGGCTTGTTTTTTTAAGGGTTTATATATAAAAGAGATTTCTCGCACTTTATTTCAGGTCAGATCTTTTGCTAAGCCTGCAGTCAAACTCATTGCGTAACCCTGAGCTACTGGCGACAGCACTGCTGAGCCAAGTGAGGCACATCTAGTTGAGCTATTCACAGCCTACTCACTCACTCTTCCCTCAGACATATCAAGTCTCATTCATTTCAAGTAAGATAGAGTTATTCAGTTTATTTACCGACGAGAGGGGTAATTGTGTGAACCCCCCCCCCCCACAAACAGTTCTCGGGTGTAATTCTTTGTATGATCTTGAAACTTCCCCTGGGTTTAAACAGCAACAGATTTTGGGGGAGGGCAGTACTGATGGGCAGAGTCAGCGGTTTGAATCCACGGTTTCTACGCTTGTTTAATTTGTATGCTCAGCCATTTTGAACGTATGGCCTCATGTATAAAGTTGCATTTAGCTGCGTGGGTTAATTATTCGGAGTGCAAAATGTCACCCGCGATGTGATAATTAACCTGCAGGGCCAGTTAATTACGGCCAGTCCCACTCCACCATCGGAGAACGAGCTTCCAGCCATTCTGTCCCTGTTCTCCCTGGAACTCCATCTCAGAGTCCCTCCCCGCCTCTGCCCACTTTTCAACCAAGCTTTCAATTATCTCTCTCCCCACCCCCACCCCCACCACCCTCCCACCGTTACTTCCTTCCTCAGCTCATCGACCCTCAGCTCCGGCTATTTTCTGAAGTGCTTTGAGGTGTCGTCCCAATATGAAAGGCGACATATTGACATAAAATGATGATTGCTTCAAAGGCATCTTCTGCTCTCTCTCAACCCAATTCGACCACTATAGTTGGGCTCAAAGCCTCTCTGAGCACAGCAATGCCACGTGAAGAAGAAAAGTGTCTTAACTCAATAAAAGGCATTGTGAACTAAGCCAATATTATTAAGAAATTACTGACAATGATAACCCCATCAATAACTTTTATATTATAAGCTCTGAATTCATCAGTTTTATTTAATTTTGGGAGCAATCTTTTTGCCATTAAAATCTTTGACAGTGAATAGTGACGGCCAGTTTAGTCTATAAAAGATTTGGCCCTCAATGATTGATTACAGCATCATGATTGTTGAGTGGTAATCAATAATTGATTATTAGGAAATGACAGAGTCACTATACGTAAAAAAGGCGAAATCATACCAACAGCCCTGAATGTTGAACTGTTAAACAGGTAGAATTAGCTTAAAAGCTTCTTATTTGTATTTTATTTTGAAATTCATAGCAGATTTCCTGGGGTTTGTGTCTCCTAAACCATATATTTCATTTTCTGTCTGTTTAATACATATTAATACACATAAACAGCCTTTCTAAGAATTTTAAATCGCAGTTGATTTGTTTAAAAAAAAATTGTAGTCATTTTTCTACACTTAATTACAGATCATTATACTATTAAACCTGATTATCCTCTTGATATTGGTCGTAGAATCCATATTCCATATTGCAGGTATTTCACCCTGGGAGGACATCTCAAAGTGCTTCCCAGAATGTACTGTAAAGTGTGGTGACGGTCTATTTTTCTAGTTAACTGCAGCAGCCAATTTCTGCACAGCAATGTCTCACAAACTATATTGAAGTGAATGACCAATTTTTCCGAGGGATGTTTTGGCCAAGATAACTGTGAGAAACTCCCTTTTCTTTTCAAATAGTGCCGTGAGATCACCAGAACAGAGAGTTAAATCCTCGGTTTAACATCTCATCCAAAGGCCAGCACCTCCAACGATGCAGCATTCCCCCAGCACTACACTGGAGTGTCTGCCTAGATTATGTGAGCACCAACTACTGACGTGGGGCTTGAACCCACAGTCCTCTGACGAAGAGGCAAGCCTGCTGTCAACTGAACCAGACTGATACCAAGAGATAAATTAGAATGAATCAGATTAAGAACACAAACCAGCCTCGTCTAAAACAAAGGGAAAACCTGCACAAATCAAACGGTTCCCAAGACGTATTTGTCCAAAAGACTGACTGAACGCAGCCTTGAATTTAATATAGAAACAAATTCCAAATTTTGTAACGTTAATCTCGCTTTGTCATGGGCAAATTTCTTCAGTCATTCTTAATGTGATTCATTTTAAAATACAAAATCCCGATCTTACAAATCGATGTCTGCTGCAAAACAAATTAAGTTGCTGTTAAATCTTGGGATAAAGCTGTTTATATTGGATCTAGCTTGTGCCTGAAATGGACAAGAACTTTCCCTTTCCTTGTAAGTAACTGTAGCCTTAAATGTTTAGACACTGGAAAACATTCACTTCAGCTGTAAAACCCACACAGAGAGTAGACAGCGCAGTAGCCCAAATAAACATTATTTACGCTGAAAGCCGCAAGTTCAAGTCTGGTTCAAAAGTGGTCCATAGCTTCAGGAAACATGAATTTACAGTTTTGCCACAATCCCAGTAGACGGGAGCCCAGAAACAAATGACGTGTTTGCACACTGTTAAAATCAAAAGAAAACAATCACTGAAATAAATTGTTAATTAAGCGAATTAAACAATGAGACCTAAAAGTCCCTTTTTTTTCTGCACTTGATTGAATGGGCAATAAAATGTTATTAACTTGATCTGGATGTGAAGCTTTTGAGCAGAGCAAAGATGCATAAGCTTTATGGCACCTACAACTCACGGGTTTATTTAAAATAAAGATTGGACTAATTATGCTGGAGTATTAAAACGTGAAATCAGGAGCTTCGACAAATTAGGTTTTGGCTGCCACAGTTTTCCAAGAGGAATTTCTGTCTCGAGTGGTTATGTACCATGTGTATGTTATAAATAAATAAAATGGATCCACAGATGTTTGGGTTGCATCAGTTTAATTGCAAATACAGCAGTAAAGATTATATCGGGATTTGACAAATTAGGTGCAAGACGTTCTATTTGGATTTAATGGGTATTTTGACTGTAAAAAATTCAAATCAATTTTGAAAACCTACATTACCAGTTTTCTGCAAACAGAATACCCGATCAGTGCTACTACTGGAAACCACAGCAGCTCATAATAACTTTAACATCCAAATTATGAGTCCATCATAGAGATCATTACCCTGTGCTGGTTTGCGTGTCAGTGCACCAGTCAATTGAATTCAGGATCCTTTTCCTTTCCTTTAAATCCTTTCATAATCCTATCCTTCCCCAAGTATCCCATCGGCTCCAGCCCTATCTGCCCGGGTTTCCGCTCTCCCAACTCTCATCTACGGTTTGTTCCTCATTGCCGAAATCTCGATATCAGTGGATAAGTATTCAGCCTATAAGTACAGTCACTAAACGTCACGGTAACTCCTGTGAAGCAGTTTAGGATGACTCGATGGCACGATAAGACACTATATCAAATGCAAGGATTATTTTTATCGTCAATAATTTTCAGATGAACAGGAAGAGGAGGGTAACAAGAAACCTGTCGCAAGAGGGAACCTTGTTCAACAAAAGGACAAGTGTTTATCAATAGATTTGAAGATTGCTGTTACTTACCCCACAATGTTGAAAGTCACAAACCTTAGCGATATATAGCCTGTATCTGAAGTTCACTTGAGTGCCTATTCAAAGCCAGTCTCACAAATACAATTCGCTCAGGACATTAATAATACCATTCAATTTTAGCAGGAAGAATGGCATTGAGCGGATATCCAGACGTCTGTAACTTATGTTACAAGAGAACGCAAATTGGCATGACACAAAAAAAACACTCGTCAAAGGCAAACCACCAAGGTTAGTATGGCGACTTCTTTTCAATCTATTATTCAAGGAGAGAAATTTCAATCTTCAATTTAAAGTCATGTTGAGAATGTTCTATCCCCTTTCCAGGAGTTAAATACCAACTCACTGAATTATATTAAATGGGCTTGCAATGATACTCAGTGTTAATCTGTCATCGTGAATATCAGGGAATGAATGCAGACCAAGATAAAAACTGAAATGATATGTGGAAATAATTCAAGGTCTGACCTTACCTTTTAATTGCTCATTTCACAAATGGTGGGTTTGTAAGAGGGATAATTAAAAAAAAAGTTCTTTAAATAATTTTAAATGAAATGGAGAATTGTTTAGGTCAATTCATGTTGTGTCTTGACATCTTAGGTCCAAGGTATGTTTGTTTGTGGGACATTGCTGTGCACAAATTAGTTGCCACATTTGCCCACAAAACATACACATCACCCATTTGCTGTATATCCTGCAAGACATCTTGACGACATAAGTGCTATATCAAATGCATGGATTATGCTTTTACTGCCCCATTGGTTGACAACTCCATTTCCCCGATCACAATAAAGAAAATATTTCAAAAATGAAAGTAATGAGATGAAGCTTTAATGATACGAAACGGTGCAAAATAAAGGTAAAGTCTTGGCTCCTGGATATCCGCGTTATTCACTAAAATTATGGCTGTCTTTCAATGGAGATCTTTTCCTTATCGCAAACTGATACGCGTTTTTCTACAATTTGGGAATTATTTGATCACCAATCTATCGGGAACTGCTTGAAGCTCAGATAGTTTTTCTGGGGATAATAATCCCTGCAAAAGAAAAATAATAATAACAATTTGGTCACTCAATCCACGACTGTGGGATGTCAGCCGCCCAGTCTATCAAAAAAAAATTGATGGTTCGAAAAAGTAACATTGAACTTCACCAGTCATATCCAGTATGTGTGCATTTAAAGGTGAGGACAAGTGTCTATAGCAGTGAATTGAGCATAAGTTTTTGACTGAAAGCTTAGAGTCTAAATTAACTCTGAAAGCGTTAAAGTTTTCTTTAGAATAGTTGGTTTGTTTTATCTGGGACTGTTAACGCACATCAATGTGTGTGAATCATAGTGTCTGAAACAGTCAACATGCCAATCAGACCACAACAGGGCTCTGAACAATCCCAACAAGGCGATTAGTGACCTCATGTCTGGGCGATATTAACACTGATTTGGAACCGAAAAAAAAATATGGTTAAAAGGACGGAGACATAATTATCCTTGTGTCTGCATTTGGTACAGATGCCTCAAAGCACTTCACAGGAATTGATGGAAAGTGACAAATCGCTTGCTGAGTTCTCTTACAACGTACTCAGTCACTGTATATTCTGTTGGCAAACACAGCAGCCAATTTCTGCACAGCGGTTTCCCATGAGTCTCCATGAATTGAAAGACCTTTTTTTTTAAGCTGAGAGATTGTTGAGATTGTCGCCTTAAAAAGAGTCAGCTGGAGGGGATTGTGGAAAGGGCAAGAGAAGCGGGGCTGAAAAAGATTGCTCTGAAGGAAGCCATCATGGACACGATGGGCCAAATGGCTTTCTTCTGCACTTTAAGTTATAATATAATAACAATCCTTGCATTTGATATGACGCTTTTCATGTCTTCGAGATGTCTCAAAGCGCTTAAATTCATATGGTTCTATTGCTCCATCCATAAAGCGCTTTGGGAAATCTTCCCGATGTGAAGGAGGCTCTATCAAAAGGAAGGATGAATATTATTATTCATTCTATAAAACAACTGTGGCTTCTTTTTCATATTGGCAAGATGCAGCTTTGGCAATTGGTGCAGTTTTACGGTCCACAAGATTTGCAGCTCAGGAATTAGGAAGAGCAAGTATCTGTTGGATTGAGCCAGGAGCCAGCAATCATGGAAAGTGGCAGAAACCCTTCAGTGAAGTGTTTTGTCCTAGTGGCTGTTGTTCACATTTGAGCCTTCAAAGCGTTGTCAGTCTTTTTCATCATCGGAGTTGACAGTATTAATAATACATTAACTGGATGTATGCCTCGCATGAAGGGGCTTATATAAATGCAAGTTGTTGTTGAGAATCAATTGCCCCAGTCCTATCATCCATCAAAGTGATATAGATCCTCGCTCCCCCTCCTGATTAGTGGGCTTATCATTGCCTTCTCTTTCTTTATATTTCCCAACAATATCGTCCAATAAGGTATTAATATTATTATTAATAATAATGATCCTTGTGTTTGATACAGCGCCTTTCATGTTGGGAGGCTGTCTCAAAGCGCTACACAGGAATTACTTTACCGTGTAGTGATTGTGTATTTTTTAAGAGGTTGAATGTTGGGAACTCACAATCTTCTGACTCAGAGCCGAGAGTGCAATCAACTGAGCCAAGCAGACACAAAATTACGCTGAATTGGAAAGATTCCTTACCCAAAATCTTTGGAGTGAAAAATCAATGTTCCGTCCCACTGTGCCTTAAAATATTGACAAATTGATAGCAAAATTCCATTTTCACACGTAAAATAATCAAGATTTGCTGTTCAGTTACTCTCAATATTAATCTTTCTTCCCATTGAAGGATGTTGACGATCAAGGTTTAGTCTGATTTTGTTATTGTGACAGTTTTCAATGTCCCCGAATAAACAGGGGAACATTTTTCTTCTCATACGTTGATTGCTTTCAATAGAGATGCTGGCAGTCAGCAAACATCAACCTCATCCTCAATCTGTGCAAACAGTCAGTGGAAATTTACAACTGCCGCTTTGATCAAAGTAACTTCTTAACAATAAGCCACGAGAAGCATATCAAGTTGGAATCATTTAGTTCTGGAATGAACAACAACAAATCGAATTCATGAGGGGCAGTACCTCGGAACACTTATCACGCTTTCATTCTTCGAGGATAGCGTGAAAAAAATATTCTGCTTCTGTGAAAATCACAGGAACACAGAACAAAAAAGGAGGGTGCCCTTCAGCCCATCAAGCCTGTTCCACTCGTCTATAATAATCCCGACGTTTGGTGTAGCGCCCTTCACGTTAAGAAGACCTCTCAAATAGCTTCACAGGAGGTGCTGTGACGTGAAGTGACTTTTGTGGGTGAATGCTCACAAGTAACATTTCAGAATATGCAGAATTGGGCAACTTGTCAAATTCGGTTTTGACTTTGAAGACAGCTCTCTGCTCTTCTTAAAAGGACTCACGGAAAATCAGCTTCAAAAATGAAAAGTTCTATGGAAGAATTTGACAAATTTTGGATGCTCTGAAATGCTACGTTAATAGAATAAATCTCAACCCAGGCGGAAGTCTTACCCCAAGACAATACATGTAAATTGAGGATGCACGTGGGAATTCTATTTCATCAATACAGAATTTACGTTTATATCCTGGTTAATGTTGACCTGGTCAACGGTATATCCCCTGCAGTCCTGTAGCTCAGTGGTTAGAGCACTCGCCTTGCAAGCGAGAGACCTGGGTTCGACTCTCGGCGGGGTGAAATGTTGGGCATGTTTCGTTACTCCACACGCCTCTGTTTACCCAGCAGTAAGTAGGAACCCGGTTGTTAGTCGATCGGCAGATTAAAAAAAACAACAATAATAAATTGGTCACTTCAATCCACGACTGTTTGTGGAGCTGTGAGCAATTGGCTGCCACGTTTCGCCCACAAAATATGCAGTCAATCCACTTTGAAGCGTTTTGAGACGTCTGCAAGATGTTATATCAAGTGCAAGGGATTATTATTAATACCTAATGCAAGGATATTATTAATATTAGCAATGTAACCAACAGTGACAGGAATTGGTATCAATGTAGTTTCAAATAGATATCAAAGGGACTCAGAGTTCAACAGTGGTAGTAATAAAAACCTTGTGTCTATTTCTCGAACCATATCTAATTCTCCATCTCGCCCCCCCTCCCCCTCAGTTATGTAGTCTCGCAAGTTTTACTGGAATTTTTTTTGGAGTGGGCGATCGAATCAGTGCGAGAGTACAATCGCACTGGTACGTGCGTGCTTTGGATCTTCAGAAGGCAATTGATAATTCCCTAAGGCTTTCAAATAAGATGAAGCGATATGAAATTAATAGCAAATTAGCCAACTGGATTCCAAATTGCCTCGCTAATAGAAAGGATAAAGTAAAGATAAATACAGAGGCTCTGTCTGGGGTTAAGTGACTAGCAGAGCTCAAAAGAGATCTGTACTGAGTCCCCTGCGGTTTGTGCTACACACATCCAATGTGAAAGAGGGTACTTGCAGCTTCATAAAAATCAGCGACAATGGCATACAGCTATGTGGCCGGATAGTAGATAATGGGAGATTGAGAGAACTCAAAGGCATCTGAATGGATTGAATGGATAAACTGAGGCATGGAGTATTTAATGTGGATAAACGTAAAGTAAAACACATTGGTGGAAGTCACAATAAAAATAATAATAATGATGCTCACATTCGGTACATCGCCTTTTATATCAGGGTAACTTCTCTGAGTGCTTCACAGGGTTTGCTGTAAATCGTAACATTTTCTAGCTGATTCGTGCACAAATTCCTTATTGTTAATAAGAATTTATTATTATTATTACCGTGGAGTCCTGTAGCTCAGTGGTTAGAGCACTCGCTTTGCAAGTGAGAGACCTGAGTTCAATTCCAGGCAGAGGGCGAAACCTTGGGCAAGTTTCCTTACTCCACACAGAGCCTAATAATAATCCCTCCAAAACAAAAAAACAATAATAAATTGGTCATTTTCAATCTACGACTGTTTGTGGGACATTGCTGTGCGCAATTGGCTGCCGCGTTCGCCCACAAATATACAGTCAATTCACTTTACAGTCTATTCTGTGAAGCGCTTTGGGACGTCCTCCCGACGTGAAAAGCGCTATATCAAATGCAAGGATTAAAGGATTAAAAGGTGGAGGAGCAAAATCACTTGTTTAGCAAAACAAAAAAGGAAAAGGAAGAAAGAATACACCGAAAGTGTCATCAAAGTTAACTGATGATGTGCTGAGTTACATCTC